AAAACAAAACAAAACAAAAAAAACTTCTTAATGAAAACATAGGAGAAACACTTCAGGAAGTAGGACTGGACACAGACTTCATGAATATGACGCCAAAAAGCACAGGCAACTAAAGGAAAATTAAAGAAATGGGATTATATCAAACTGAGATGACTTCTCTAACCCATGTGTTAGTTAGAAATTTGTTCTTAATTTCCAAATATTTGAGAATTTTCCATCTGTCTTTCTTGTTATTGATTTCTAGTTTAACTTCATTGTGGTCTGAGAGCATACTTTGTGTTATTTCTATGTTTTTAAATTTGTTAAGGTGTCTTTTCATAACATTGAATGTGATCTGTCTTGGCAGTTGTTCCATGTGAGTAGGAGAAAAATGTATATTCTGCTATTGTCAGATAAAATAACTATAAATGTCAACTAGATCCAATTGACAGTGCTGTTCAGTTTAACTATCTTTGCTGATTTTCTACCTGTTAATCTGTCAGTTACTTAAGTACTGTTGACATTTCCAGCTAACATAGTTGATTTGTCCATTTCTCCTTGCACTTTTATCCATTTTTGCCTCGTATATTTTGATGCTCTGTTGTTAGGCACATACTCATTAAGGATTAAGTCATATTGGAGATTTTATACCATTATTATTATGTAATGTTCCTCTTCATCCCTGATAATTTTCCTTGTTTTGAAGTATGGTTTGTGTGAAATTAATAATGCTACTTCAGCTTTCTTTTAATGGTTCGTGGTATATATTTACAATTAGTTCAAGTCTCTTTTCAAATAACACTATGTTGCTTCATGGGCAATGCAAGTATCTTGTAACAGAGCATTCCTATTTCCTTCTTCCTGTTCTTCATAACATTGCTGTCATTTATTTCACTTATCTGTAAGATATGATTACCACATATATTGTTGCTTTTATTATTTTAAACAAACTGTTACCACTTAGATTGATTGAGAATATGGAAGATGAAACATTCTATTTTACCTTCATTTTTTTCTAGTCTAATCTTTCTTTCCTTATATAGATCCAAGTTTCTGACCTATGTCATTTTTCTTCTCTCTGAAAAACTTTTTACATTTCCTGTTGGAAAAGTCTACACATTCCTTCAATTACTGAAAATATATATATATATATATATATATGTATATATATATAAAGAATCTTTCCATTTTAACTTATTTTCTTTGTCTTTGTTGCCACTTCATTCTGAAGCATTTCAAGATTTAAATACTCTCAACATATGCCTAGAATATGCTTTTTCAGTCAATCACAGAACAGAAGACTTGAAAGAGAAATCCCCGTGCTTAACATCTGTCACAGCCATTATGTTTAGAAATTACTTTGAGGGCTGGCCCGGTGGCGCACTGCTACAGTGCACCGTTTGGGAGCACAGCGGCGCTCCCGCCGAGGGTTCGGATCCAACATACAGACCGGCCGCTCACTGGCTGAGTGAGGTGTGGGAGCAACACCGAGGGTTGCGATCCCGTTGCCGGTCCTGGTCCGGTACGGGCGCGACACTGAGGGTTGCAATCCGTTGCCGGTCACGAAAAAAGACAAAAAGGAAAAAAAAAAATAGAAATTACTTTGACCCTTCTCTAAACTGATATCTTGGGTTTCTGTAAATTCTTTGTGGTTACAGTGTTTGTTGTCTGACTCATAGAGAATCATTTTATATCATCCATCTCCAGATAAGATTTACTTAGTAATAAAGCTTTTTTATTAGGCTTTTATCTGAATGTGACCTTAAATTAAGAATAGCATTTCTATGAAAGATTATTTATATAATATTTTTCTATAAAAAAGAGTTCTCCCTCTGAGACTTTTTCTAGAGAATTTATAATTTGTATAAGCTTTCCTCATATAAACTTTAACTGGATTTATCTTTCTTATCTCTTTTACTCTTGTCTAGTGGTCATCTTGATAAGGCTGGACTCTATAAGGAAGAAATCATGTTTCAGACCAAACTATGCAAACTTCTGACATCAAGTGGCATATCATGATTCGGCTTCATTTGAAAAATAAAGGCAATACTCTCCCTCTGCCATTTCAGCAAAATAAACGCAGTGCAAGCATTTAATATCCAAGCTACAGGCTAAATACCATATCTTACCACCACTTTCTTTTCTGTGGTAAATTTGAGATTTGCTGCTTTTTAACAAATAATAATTAATATATGTAGGCTTTTGAAAATAACATACTTATGTTTTGCAATTGAATTTATACTTATTTATATTTAGACTTAAAATAGTAGGGAAAACCCAGATTTCCTCTGCTGTATATTTATAATGACTTGTGTTTAAGAAGTATGTTTAAATTCTTTAAACAGTTGTGAGAGAGAGTTTAATAAAGCCTGTGTTATGTGTTGATATTGCAAATAAGCCACAGTGTAATTAAAATTTCCATTTAAGGTAAAACTTGAATGCTAGAATTATAATTTTACTTTTATGTATGTATGAAATAAATGATAATCATATCTCTCTGAGATGCTTGCTTAGTTACATAAGTAATTTCTAACTTGCAAGTGGAATTATCACAATTATTTTCTAAATTAAATAATACTATTGGATTACCATGAACATTATATTTGGTGGTTGATTTTCAATCTCCGAAATGCAATTTAAAGTGAGGTACACGGAATTCTATTGGAAATGATGAAAATACCAGAATTATGCTTTAACAGTAAGCAATTAGAAAAGAGGGCAAAATATTAAAAACAATGGTTTTCCAGAAATTGAACAAAGTTGAAAAAGGACTTGTCATCCCTGAGATAAGAGAAATAAACAAGGTGACTCTAATGATTAATCCATTTACTATCTCGAGGTACATTCCAGATCATAGTGCAAGGAAGAGGATCATAAGCAGAGCTCAACAATTTTTCTGAGTTGAGGAACAGAGATAAGAACTCAGGGAGTCTGTGGGAGGTACAAGTTGTAGGGGAGAGTTCTAGAGAGTAAATAACTATCAAAGAACTTTGTAGATCTGCATATTGATTGCATTGAGTCTTTGCTGAATGCTAAGCTGCATGTGCACAAGGTGAAACTCGACAAGGTCAGGTATGTTTATGCTTTCTTTCCTCCAGGTAGTGAAAGACTGGCTGAGTATAAGCTGAACAATTCCCAGTGTTCACATTTGAGATGTTTGAATATTAATCAGCCAGCATGAAGAGTCCTTGTTGACCGAACGGGGCATTTAGTAGAGATGCCCGAAGAGTGACTCAGTAGTAAAGTTAAATTATCCCCAGTATAAATGTAACTCTAGGCCCAGACTGAGGAATTTTAAAAACAAGTTCAAAATAATCAGACTTATTCACAAGTAACTTCCCACAAGAAGAAACGGCCACACTTTAAAGAAAGACCACAAAATTCAGATGCCTAACATACACAATTTCTATTTTCCAATAAAAAATTACTAGGCATGCCAAGAAGCAGAAAATTTTAACACATAATCAAGGGAAAAATCAAGTCAATAGAAACATATGCAGAGTTGTCCTTCGCCTTTGCAGCCACCGCCATCTCCTCTGATCTGCCAAAGTCATGTTACCCAACACCGACTAGCAGGATGTACAGTTTTTATCACAGGTGCAAGCCGTGGCATTGGCAAAGCTATTGCATTGAAAGCAGCAAAGGGTGGAGCAAATACTGTCGTTGCTGCAAAGACTACCCATGCACACCCAAAACTTCCAGGCACAGTCTATACTGCTGCGAAGAAATCGAAGCAGCTGGAGGAAAGGCCTTGCCATGTGCTGTTGATGTGAGAGATGAACAGCAAATCAGTAATGCAGTGAAGAAAGCAATTAAGAAATTTGGTGGAATTGATGTTTTGGTGAATAATGCCAGTGCTATTAGCTTGACCAACACATTGGAAACACCTACAAAGAGAGTGGGTTTGATGATGAATGTGAACACCAGAGGCACCTACCTTACATCTAAATCATGTATTCCTTATTTGAAAAAGAGTAAAATTGCTAATATCCTCAATCTCAGCCCACCATTGAACCTAAACCCACTGTGGTTCAAACAGCACTGTGCTTACACAATTGCTAAGTATGGTATGTCTATGTGTGTGCTTGGAATGGCAGAAGAATTTAAAGGTGAAATTGCAGTCAACGCATTATGGCCTAAAACGGCCATATGCACTGCTGCTCTGGATATGCTGGGTGGATCTGGTGTTGAAAGCCAATGTAGAAAAGTTGATATCATGGCAGATGCTGCATATTCCATTTTCAAAAAGCCAAAAAGTTTTACTGGCAACTTTATTATTGATGAAAATATCTTAAAAGAAGAAGGAATCAAAAATTTTGACGTCTATGCAGTTAAACCAGGCCATCCTTTGATACCAGATTTCTTCTTAGATGAAAACCCAGATACAGTTATCAAGAAAGTAGAATCACATGAATTCAAAGAAGAGAAACCACAGCCGCAACCAAAACCACGTTATGGAGCCATGGAAGAAACATTTAGAATTGTTAAGGACTCTCTTAGTGAAGATATTGTGAAAGCCACTCAAGCAATCTATCAGTTTGAGCTCTCAGGAGAAGATGGTGGCACATCGTTTCTTGATCTGAAAAACAAAGGCGGGAATGTTGGGTCTGGAGAGCCCTCTTATCAGGCAGATGTGGTGATGAGTATGTCTACTGATGATTTTGTAAAAATGTTTTCAGGGAAACTAAAACCAACAATGGCATTCATGTCAGGAAGACTGACGATTAAAGGAAACATGGCCCTAGCAATCAAACTGGAGAAGTACTAATGGATCAGATGAATGCCAGACTGTGAAGGGAAGAAAAGAAAATGTTTACTGCTGTGCTCAAAAAGTAAAAAGCTCAACAGTTAAAGTCTTATGTTTGTTTTCTTCACTATTGTATCAAGGATATGTATGTTCGTTAGTTTTGGAAAAAAGTAGAATTTCTATATCATAAGATTTGAAAATGTAATTAAAACAGCTAGCTTATTAAACTTAAGCTTCATTAAATGGAATTCTAACACATTCTGTTTTTTTATATTTCAGGGGTTTTGCCCTCTGAGACTTATATCTCATTTGCTGTCTTTCAAGAAGAGTATTATGAGCAACCAATCAGGGTCAAGCAATAAAATCAGCTCTTTTCAAAGCTTATTCTCATGTAAAATGAAGCTAGTCTGTTTTTAAATTTTTAGTTATAGCTTGTATAGTAATGAAAATTTTAATGATGTTTTGGATTTTTATATGCTTTTTTTTTTTTTCCTTTTTGTCTTTTTTCGTGTCCGGCAACGGATCGCAACCCTCAGTGCTGCACCCGCACCTCGCTCAGCCAGTGAGCGGGAACCGGTCTGTATGTGGGATCCGAACCCTCGGCGGAAGCGCTGCCGCGCTCCCAAGCGGTGCACTTGTAGCAGTGTGCCACCAGGCCGGCCCTTTATATGCTTATTTTAAAGGAAATCTCTACAGTGTATTTCACAGAAATCGC